TACCGAAATTAAACTTTTGTTAGGTCCCTGAACTATATATGCTGTAGGCCAGTGGTTCCTAAAGCTGTAGGTCGTGACCCTCAAAATCTTCATGACCTCGTAAGGGTCATGAGCCTTCTTATAGGCCAAATATAGTGTCCCACTTTGCTTAATGAATTTATTTTGCCGGATATGAGCTAAAACTTTCGATCAGTTTTTGCGCTACCCATGGCTGGAGAAAAGTCGAAGAAGCGATCATATAATAGATTAATAACAGCATGCGTTCATGAGTCGAGCCAAGACATGGATTCTGCTGATCAAGATCACTTCTCCTACATCTCCAAGCGTTGGTTGTGAAAAGGCAATGTTCATGTTTCCCTTGCATACATAAAATCTTTGATGAATTGTAAATTTAACGGCCACTCGCAGTGAAAAATAGAGCAGCCTTTAAAGGACATTACGGAGCCGATAACGTGTATTAATTGTGGCCTACTATATAAGCAGACGTGTTATAACCATTGAATGGACTCAACCGGCAACTATAGGGCCCAGACAGAAGTCATGAAGAATCTTAATGCACAGTGATGCTATCGAAGCTTTAACCGACATGCTAATTCTCTGAAAATTTTTATTTGGGAGGAGATGTGCTGCATCTTTTCAGTGTTATATGCAGGAGGTCGACGGAGAAGAACATCTTGCACACAATCTGCAACAAAAGATCATAAAACACTTGTTAATTCTGTTGAAAAGAGTTCAGGTAAAATTTTTGTGATTCTGATGAAATAAGAATATACAGATGACACTTGCCCAAAGTACTTTGCAATGCAGTGTAGATGATCTACCAGATAGCACGCGAGAGATGTTCTTGAAGCTCGTCAGCAACATTGCAGCCAAGCATAGATTCAGGTCCGTAAACCTTTCAGCAGATCTATGTTGTTCGCTTAATAATCTTCCTGCATTCAAAAGTCCAGCGAATTAGCTCTAAAGCTTCTTTTTCCTTTTTCAACGAGTTTCCAAAAATAATTTCTCGACCCTTAGGGCGAAAATATCTAATGCTCGAAGCAGGTTGCTACTGAAGCAGGAATACGCTTTACATTGAACCTCACAAACCCGCGTATTGATATTCTCCTAGCAAAGATGCTACAACTCTTTTCACATTAAAATAACCAATCAAGTCAATAATTTTTATGAGCATATTTTTACTTATATTGATCATTAGCCATGTAAGTTTGCTTTTTCTGGCATAATTAATATGTAAAACTAACTTCTCTGATGAAAATAAGGTCGTTTTCAGTAGAATAAATTTGGAGTCATGAAACGTTTGGTAGCACGGGAAGTGGTAACGTACTGAAAAAGTTCGAGAACCGCTATTGAAGGCTGGATGGAATGCCGCATCTAAAATACAATGAATTCATGTTATAATTTAATGATCACTATATTTCAACAAATGCATATATCATTAGATTTGTCTCAATGACCTTTTCAAAACTATGACTAGCTTTTTGAATTACAAATTACACTTCATATTGCATGATTTTATGACTTGCCGACTCAAGGCAGCAGGTTTAGTTTCTACTTATGCGTATTTATGACCACTTTTCGAGTTATTGACTCTTGCCTTGCCAAAAGTTGATTTCAGTCAACACCAATGAGCCAAAAGTTGATGAGTTTTTGTGGTGTTGGCTGAAATCACGATTTGGTCCGAATTCTCTGCACATAATATCTGGATTATGGACGAAACAGGAACGAAGTTTTTTTCTGATCAACTAAATTTATTTTTTCTAGTCAAGGATACATTTTTTCATGTCAATGAAATATTTTTCTTCATTTCAGTGATAGATTTTTTAAGCCAAGAGTATATTTTTTTCAAGTTAAGGATATGATTTTTTTGAGCTGGGAATAAATGAATGAATGTCATATTTTTAATTACATTTTTCTTATTTTTAACTGTAAAGTGTTGTTTTATTATTTTTAAATGAAAAATATGCAATTGTGGTTAAGGGACCAAGGGTGGGCGCCTTGCCCCAAGCCAATGGGCCCATTGCCCCAGGGGTGGGGCAATGGGCCCATTTTGATACTTTTTACAAAATAGTGTTTCATTAAAAATTGAATAACTCTATAAGCATCTAATTCACATCATACATTCCTCATTAGTTGTACCTTTAAACAAAACAGAGAACCACCTCGTATCAATTAAAACTTTATCAAAAATTTAATTTAAAAAAAATGGGGGCGCGCTGCCCCATGTTGCCCTACATAAATAGTGCAGTGACCATAGCGGCTATTGGAAGAATTTCGTAACTCCACATTGCAACCATTGAAGCGACTAACGTACATTTTGGTAATAACGCATCCACTTTTTGTACATTCTCCCGAACTGACGCACTCGTTCATTTGTAACGCCATTGGAGTAAAGAAACGTCGAATTGGTTAACCAACGCCTGGGATGATCTCAACATTCACTTCCAGTCGCTGTCAGTTGATTGGCTTCACTTTCAGATCCGTTGCAAAATTTACTGAAGAATAAATTACAATGAAAAAAAACGTCCTCGCTTTCATGCTCAGATTTACAACGTATCCGGGACTTTTGAAAAATGTTCATAAGCGATTCTGTTGTTTGTATAAATCTTACAAACAACACCACTAGCGTCGATTGGAAATTTATGTTTTCCCAATTAGCGCTCCTTTACTTGATTTACATTTTTACTGAACACTTTTATCAGCACAACCCAGGCATATATTTAAAAAAAATTATTACGGTTTCCGTAAAATTCGATGAACTAAGTTAAATATTTTTTGTGTTACATACCATATACTGCACGACTTTCATTTATTATTACCTATTTCAACATTCATCTGCAGCTATTTATGAATTTCTTCGTCACTTTATCAACGTACGAAAAACCTTTATAATTATTTACCTTTTAAAAAATTGTATGATGTTATCGTAGTCAGAGAAGTTGTACAGCGCAGTCTCCCCTAGCTACGCAGCGTTACCTTCACAGCTACGGCGACATCCAGCACAGCCTAGCCCATGTTCTTATCCAGGTGACATCTGCTGACATTCTCCACACAATAATTCTGTCACCGCAGTGCCGGCAATTAGCCTGATGAAGGAGGTGTGAAGAAGCGGGCCTCATTAAGCTCTTAACAGATTTACAGGATTTCATCGCGTCACAATCTCCACAAACAGGCTTAGTAAATGTTGGAGAAGGCGGCGCGCTCGACAGCTTCAGAGATACCAGCAAAATAGAATTGGCTACACTAGGAAAGATTGCCACAACCGTTACTTCGGCTAACATAAAACCGATAAGATTGTAGCCCTTAATTTGTACAACTTTCATTTGTGTTTGATTATAATTTGTTCAGGTCCATTAAAGCCGGAGATTTCTGTAAAAATTACGAAGTGACAGTAACACAATTTAGGGGGCGTTTGTGCTGAGAAATTTTATCCCAAAAACTAAGCGAAATTCAAGCTTCATTAAGAAGATAACTTAATTCGCTTGAATTATTGTGCCGTGTTCGGACATACCGCCTTACAATTCTACGCGGAAAATTTGTTTTAAGAACAGACACATAACCTTATTTAAGCAATTGGAAGCAGCAGGACATTTGCTCAGAGAGACTAAATATCAACGGAATTTAAATAATATGAAAGCATATTACTTACACGTGTATTGTCTGTTTCACTGTTGGTTTCTTGGCAAGAAACGGCACAGGATTTGTATGTTTGGCCTTGACGAGTGCAGTAAACCTCTTCGATCGGATGCGAGGTCCCTAAAGGGCTTTGCGGGAGCTCCCTTGCCCTCTTGAGATCCTCTTTCCGACTTGCTATTTGTCATACTTCTATTTATAATATATTTGAATTTTCGTTCTTTTCAGCTAAAAATTCATCGATTCAGTTTTATATCATAAAATGAGCAATATTTAGTCGTTTATAAAAATTTCAACGTGCCAAAGGATTCGTTGTGCGGGAATCTAGCTCAAGTTTTTCGTGGGGGAAAAGTTATAAATGATTAAATAATGCTTAATTCATAGTTTTCTATTCAATGATTGATTCTCATATTGAATTACTTCTGCGAGTTTGGATTTTCGTAAATATCAGTCCTTCATGTAGTAATCATAGTAATTTTACAAACCACGACATTTTTTATAGAGCACCGTGAAAATTCGCCGATTTCTGGCGCCATAGATCGGCACTTAACCTCAAAGCCATAGGAGCTGAGCGTCAAAAGAGGCCGGAATTTGGCAGGGACTGCAACTGCCGTGACAGCTCGTTACTGCAACCAATTTCCGATAAGGGTTCCGTGTTGTGGTCGTTCTCTGGCCCGTCACAATTGTGCCGAATCAGCAGCCCTCCGCCAGGAACTAGTCCGTCGATAATAGAAATTAGGACGTCAGAAAAAAGGCGCACGAAAGAAACACGACCGGACTCCGCGTTAGGACTGATGTAGAGAGATGTTCTACTAGGTTATAACGAGAGGTTATATTAAATGTAACAAAATCATTATTTGTTAACTTAATTAATGTTATTATAAATATTTTAAATTACGAAAAGTTTAGCAATAATTTGGTTTTTGTCATATTTTGGTAAATGATTGGACGAGTTAAATATTGGACAAAATTTCTGGTCTCACTCGAGCCGGTGACCGTGCAGGTATAACTCTGCTAGCATATCGTTTTAGGCATAACACTGTATGTATAACACTATGTATAACACTATGTATAACACTGCAATGTATAACACTGTAGGAGCAGTGCTTTCACCCGTTCAGGCAAGCAGTCAAGCACACCTCGTCACGTGTGCTGTTATTGAGGTGACCGGCTGAAGGAGTAAATATGAAGTAACAGTTGTTGGTCGTAAAGTAAGAGGCCTGTGAACATTGACTGGACAGCCAACAAATGCTGAGGCAAGTCTCGGTAAAGCCGCCTATGATGTATGCAGGATGGGACATGTTTTTCGAGGTAACAAGTTCTAGTTGTGCCCTACAAGCGCCTTGGTTGGGCTCGTTCTCATGGCTATGAATAAAACCAAACTCAAATCTGAATTTAAGTTTAGATCCCTGAAGCTCGTAAGACCTTCGTGTTCGTTCGATGGGTGAGTGCGTTAGAGTCAGTTACACTATACCACGCAAACAGAACGCATGTCTGATATTATGCTCAGAGATTTGTATGAACAACCGCCGTAAACCTCCGAGTTAAAAACATGTCATGGTGTCTAAATTGATTTGTGGCCTTAGCAGCTGTCGATGAACACGACATTTGAATAAGACTGCTAGCTTGGAGTTTCGTGAACAAAAACGTTGGTATTGATTCAAAATATTGCCAAAAAAACTTGAAAATCCGGGGAAAGTAATCCAAATTTTTTATGTATTACAAGACGACAGGTCTCAAGAACACGTGGGTTCGTGACAAAAAAAATATTAGTCACAACCTCTGGATGAATCAAGATTCAACCCAAGCTCAACCTGAATTATAGAGCTTAGGCTAGCCAGAGCGAGTGTATAAAAACCAATACACATTCATGACATGATTCTCGAGAGAATCGTGCGAGTTGTCTCCACCGTGAGTTATAAGGAATAATTTTCGGCTGCATTTCATTCTGTGATGGTCGAATGCAGCACGCGTTGCGTTGCAGTTAAAGAACATCGCAACATGAGTGGCATACGCGTAACATTGCCGAATAATAGATTTTTTGGGCAATTCACACTACAAAATACTGAAGGCATTACAAGACGAACTTACGACAGGTGGTATGTTGCAAGGCTTCAGAGAGCCTGCAGCAGCCAAATTAGCATTTGGGGGCACCTCATCCTGCATCCAAATTAGTAACTTGTGAATTCAGGAGTTTGTGGGTGTGTGAAGGTATTACAGGTAAAAATATTAAATGATTTTTTATAACAGTTTACATTTTTTGCAGGAAGTAAAAGATTACTACACTGTCGAATAAAATACCAGGCCGAATATTTAAATGAATTTTATGTGCAGAAGAGCTACCCACATCCGTATTAAAGTTAGATCAGGACTAAATTTCTGTATCCCAAGATGGAGCACCAATTCTTTACCCTGATTATTTCAAGGAAAGGTGATTCGTTTCCATGCATTCTTACTGACGTATTACTTTCCTTGAATTGAGAACCACGAGTCCAGCCAATAAATTTGTATTTGCTATCAGTATAAATCTACATCAGGGGCCATGCATTCAAATTCGATCCAGGGGACGAAAGCCTGTGTAGGAAACGAGGACCAATATCGGCCCATCTGCCTAATATTTCCATTTGGAATCAGTGATTGTGAGTAGGTCGAGCTTCCTATGCTGCAATGATATTGGCAGGTGGGATCTTTGCTTCTGATCAGCTGGGTTTATTCGGATGCAGATCTCAAGGAGAAAATGATTGCTCCTTCAACCTAAAACTGAGTCTTCAAAATTTTCTGGTGGTGCATGCTGAACACCGAACACGTTGATTGGTTTTCATTTAAGAATATCTGTAATTTCGAGTAGAGAGGCAATTAATTTGCTGCGTATAACAACAAACTATAGTTAATCTCAACCGAAATGAGGTTCCCACTACTTCTAAGATTCCGAAAGTCTTTGGAATTAACAGAAGTTGGTTTCCAGTGGCCATGCAGCCTTTTAGCGGAGCTTTCCTTTATGTTGGGCGAGAGTTTTAATCTTGGCTTGAAATACAGGAATGTTTTGGGAATGCAATTTATGCTCGAGTGTTGGAAGTTAGGGGGCAGTAATGTTGGTGGCGAACGTCACTTGATATTCTGCAGCGGCCCCTGCCAGGACAATGAAAAACTGCAAGCGTCATTGCGTGAATTCAAAACACATGCAAGTCCTGAACCGCCCCGGAAATGTGATATTGACGACAAGCAGCGCACAATTGGCTTTATTTGAAAGATTTGGCGAGCATCGCCCGGGAAATGGCTTCGTTCAAACTATATTACATTTCAACGGACCCAAGACCGCTTTGCAGATCTATGGTTTGATGAGAACGTTTTTCAGTATATCATTGATATATTTTATATTTGTGAAACATATTTTTCGCTCTGTGTATATAGGAAATTTTTCTTGACTAAAAATCTCAAATGAGGTTTCCGTAATTAAATTAAACAATTATTGCTCTTTTGGGAGGAATTGTTAAGATTTTTCGGAAACAGGTTTATATGACAATCTTGCTGAGCTTTTTATATAGGCTATTAAAGATGGCGAAAATTATGCGCGCCTGATCTGGACCATGCTTCCAGGATTGCCTCTTTAATAAAAAATATCCAACATTACTGAACTTAATGCACAAATAATATTACTTGCACGCTTCGCACCTCATTTAATTCCGGCGTAAAGCTTCGGGCAGGTACCGTGACTTTGAATTAAGAAACTCGACGTCGTAATAAAATTTTTGGCTCCTGGTGACATCACGACACGGAATTTTGTTCGAGACTATATAAGTTCTCCACCGTAATTTTTTGTCATTAAACAAACAGGTTTTGTGTCGGCAAAATGCAGGCTTTCAACTGGGGCTCTGGCAGTGGATGCGACGAGGCAGCGCGTGAAGCATGATTAAAAATAATCAAGCGAGGCCCGTAAAGTAATTTTTGTCTGCTTGGCGATGTTTTCGAGGTGGTGTCGAGATGGACACGAGTTTACGAGGCAGGATGTTTACGTTTAGGAAATTTGCATTTCTAGGTAATTCATTTCTCCGGCCGCAGAGATTGCGCGAGCGCTGTCGCCTAACCTCGCAGTGACTGAGGTGAGAACAGTAAACTGTATTCACTGAACATGATTCATCTAGAGATCGACGCATTCCAATGAGAAACATGCGTAAATCACGCAATGAAATTGCCGTTTCCTTTTTTTATTTATGATATATTTTTTACAAAAATAAATTAAAAATTGCTTATTCATATGGACATTATGAATATTTATCCAAATTTGCATTCTTTTGAAATTTCAACAAATTAGTGCTCGCGATTTACGCTCATCATAATTTTCCCGCATAAGAGTGCTGCGTGTTGCTCCTGCAACTCGCAACATAATTTCCGGCATGCGTGTTGCAGGAGCTCACGTGTTGCTCTGGTGGCGCCTGCGCTGTAGGGCCCGAAGCTTCTATGCTTCTCATACACAAATTTCTGGCGGCGAAACAAAGCAGGGTTGTAGGGATTGCATGCATGAAGTTCTTCATCATTAAAAGCTCATACGACAACGAGTCCCAGAGTCTTAAAAGGGCTTCACAAAGAAGCACGCTCTAAGGGGAGGCTTGCTTTTGTTGTCCTTGTTCTAAAGGCTTTGTTTAGAAGACGCGCCCGCATATTCCAAATTGCTTTTGGTCATTACCTGTTCCCAGCTAAGACAGTCCAAGCTGTAGCGGGGACCTGCATCCTCAGGGTATAGTTATTTATATAATATCTTATCCAACAATTAATACACATTTTCCATCATCCATCTACAGCTTTGAATGGATTGCATGCTTGCACTTCATGTATATTGCATGACAATATACATGATATTCCTCGAAAAACATCACTTGAGCGATATTAAGTATACAGTCGTATACATGTTTTGATGGCTACAGTTTTTCCGTACGAAGTTTTTGGAATAATTTTTTGAGATATCTCAACCCATCCTTGAAAAGAGACCTCTTGTCCAATAGACCCAGCTAACTAAATACGAGTATGTCATGTTATGAGCTTCACTGTTCAGTATGGAAACGCAGCAAAAACAAAATGAAATTGTGGAAAACGGAGCGAGTGAAATGAAATTACTCTCTTGGTAGCCCAAGAATTGTTCGAGAGAGCGTAGACGTTACGAAAACATGACATTATCCATTGATCTTAGAGACACGATGCTTCAAAGTTTATTGGTGCAAAATGCGCACACATGAAACTCAGTTTTTGAGGATAGGATTGAAATTTATTCTTATAAAATCCTCTTCGACGATCAACCGTTACATTGCAACATTCATTTAGGAGAGATTGATGGGTGAAATTCCTTTGTGAATCAAGGTCACATAAAATCTGGAAAACAAATAGTTGAACGATTAAACAATCGATTTTTGCTATCTAATGTTAGGAGATCGCGAAGTTGCCTGTATCAGATGACCATAACAACTCCCTTCCAAATAATTCCTCTAGAAACAACCACACAAGCACTTTACTCCCATAAGGTCCATACTCAAGCCTCCCAGCCACTCCAACTATTCCTCTCCCAACAACCCCACTCCCAACAACCCGACTCCCAACAACCCCACTCCCAACAACCCCACTCCCAACAACCCCACTCCCAACAACCCCACTCCCAACAACCCCACTCCCAACAACCCCACTCCCAACAACCCCACACCCAACAACCCCACTCCCAACAACCCCCCTGTCAGAAGTCCCAGTCCCGCGCGTCTCTCCCTCCAGCCAATTTCCCCATGACCCATCGAAGCTCGGAGCCTCTCGAGCGAGCTGCTGCATCTCTCACTGAGCAATTTGTCAGGTCACAAAAACCATTAGTATAACAGACCAAAGCAAACCCCCGCCGCTGCCAGGCTTGTTGAAGCGATCACCCGAGCCTTGCAGCCCAGACAAACCGGCCTGACCAGTCCGCGGCCACCAGAGCTACAGGCTTGTTAGTGGAGACTGCCTAGCGCAGCCAAACCTTAGTATGGGCAAGACCCTGCCTACCCCAAGCAACCCTAAGTATAGCTAGGCATATTCCTGCCTAGTCTAGGCAAGATGTTTTCAAGTGCAGGAAAGACAGTCTAGCGCACACAAACCTTAGCAAGTTAGCATAGGCAAGACCTTGCCTACCCCAGGCGAACTTGAGTAAAAGCAAGACTCTGCATACCCTAGGTAAACCTTATTACAGGCAAGACCTTGCCTACCTCAGGCAAGACATTTTCAAAGGCAGGCAAGACAGCGTCTGGCTCATGTGAGTGCACTGATCAGTGATCAGACAAGACACTGTAGTATGCAGGCAAGGCGTTGGCCAAAGCACCAGAAACTTTTCACAGCGCATGCAGTCTCTGAGGTGAGACTCTTGATCTGCCAAAATTATAGGTGAATCTGTCAGGCGCAGTGTTTTTCCGCTCAGTTAAAAATGTATTGACGATCGCATCAATAGGCTAAAATATTTATGTAATTCTTTCTGCCCACGCCAACTGGAGACAAACTATATAATAAATGGCAAACAAGAATAGTCATAATTAAATTGTTCAATTTGTAACCTCGGGCAGTGCCTGGAAATAAGAGGAATAACGAAAGAATTAGAATGTAGCGCCTAGCCTTGCCAGTTGCAAGCTTCAACATAATCATTTGCTTCAGCATAAACCTGATAACTTACTCATAGCATCAGAATAACCATAATAACTTACTCATACTTCAGCATAACCCTAATAACTTGCTCATAGCTTCATCATAACCCTGATAACTTGCTCATGGCTTCAGCATAATCATGATAACTTACTCATAGCTTCAGCATAACCCTGATAACTTACTCATAGCTTCAGCATAACCATGATAACTTACTCATAGCTTCAGCATAACCCTGATAACTTGCTCATGGCTTCAGCATAACCCTGATAACTTACTCATAACTTCAGCATAACCCTGATAACTTACTCATAACTTCAGCATAACCCTGATAACCTGTCTCTTATACACATCTAGATGTGTATAAGAGACAGGTGTACTCCATGCAGTGTACTCCATGCAGTGTACTCCATACAGTGTACTCCACGCAGTGTACTCCATGCAGTGTTCTCCATACAAGAATGTGTTTGGTCCATACAAGAGCTCTAGTGTTCGGTCCATACAAGTATAAAGTCAAATGGTTTAACCAGCGATTTGCTTGATGTCGCATTTCCCTTATAGCAGCCATTAGCATAGAGAAATCATAATCAATGGAGCAAAATTTGGCCATTATTATTATATAAGGGACCATTGTTGAGGCGACTATTGTGATCCCGTTTCTAGAAACGGTTGGATCCGAAGCGAATGATGCCGCTGCATGCATTATTCATCCCAAAATGACCATTGTGTGAGCGAATTCTTAATCGGTATTCAAGTCGTTTCCTCATTAACTCTTACTCGTATAATGATAATGATAAATAAATTGCAACGCTTCTCGTTAACGTCGACCGCGCAACGAGATTTTGATGCGCAGCGTCAACTAACGCGGTGAGGATAACACAGGTGGAGCGTGGCAGAAAAAAGTGGGCTATCACAACGATCAATTACAATCTTAAATGTTTATTAAGGTTATTATTTTCAGAAATAATAACGAATATAACCGCGATGCAGTTTTTATTTTAGTTAGCTCTTAAATGTAATATTCGTGTCGTGAAATGTTTTTTATTGAATCCATCATTTTTAATCCACATCGTTTCTTTTATTATAAATTTACCAAATGTCATAAATGAATAATATTCTGGACAATTTTATGCAGAATGTGTTCACAATGCTAGCCGTGAAGCAGAGCGCTGATGTCAGCGCCGATTATTATTCGTGTTACAAAATTGGACGCCGTGAAATGTTTCAGGCGAAGTCACGGGTCAAATGTGAGGCTCAATGCAAGGCATTTTTTCCTGTTTTATCAGACGTCGTCGAGCGTTTCTTGTGATCAGAAAGGTTGAAAGCGAACCTTCACAAATAATACGACGAACGAACCTTAACAACTTGACTTCGGTACAACATTATTTAATAGCCATTCCACTAAAGCACAACGACTTCGAAGATCCAGTCTGCGACAAATCATATGTAAGATCTAGGTCTTCAAGACACGGTGTATCCTGACTTCAAATAGCCGAGCCGACGCGTCTCATGCTCGACCAAAACACGGCCCTCAGACCGTTGACTTCTCGGTAGGAATAACCCGTTCAACTCTGCGACCGATCGGTTCAGTTCAAGTGTTCAGTATCGATCGATGCCTCTAACTACTTCATTAAGATACAGTGTTTTCCTGACGGAGTTCGTGTAAAGCTCGAGCTGAGGTCCACTCTGGATGTTGCAGAGCGTGATCACATCCACATCAATGGCCACGTTACGACCGCACCGGTCCAACGCGTTCGCTCGAGCGCGAGGAGGTGTGAAATGCAGCATTAAGTCCTGCACTTGTGGGCGCAGGAGGTTACTTTGTGAGACGGATATACTAATATTTGATGAGACTAATTGCAAGATTGGGTAAAATTTACATCATTTATAGTTATAGTCGTAGATAAAACAGATCCATTACCACTCACGCTGAGAGGGGGAAATCGTGGCATAAACGAACGCAAGAATAAAAAAAACGCAAAAAGATATGAACGCAAAAATAGTCTCTACTCATTAAATACTGAATTATTTCGGCACATAACTTCTTATGATAAGGATATTTCTATTTGTGAGACTAAAATTCATTTCTAATAGGCACAAATAATTGTTCAAATCAAAACTTAATAACTTATCATCAAGACTTATCATCACTTATCAAGATACTTATCATCAAGATACATGCTTAATCCGGTTAATATAAATTACAATTTAAGATGATCATCATCTCCCTTGTTGGTGCCACTTGGAAGGAAAGGAAAACCAGAGGTGGTAAAGAAAGGCCAGAAATATGATAAAGAAAAATAAATGATGGTAAAAGACGAAAAATAATTTTATTATTTTCCAGGAAAAAAATTAATTTTTGTATGCGTATCGGATTGGTGATAGTAACACTTGGAATAACGGCGACTGATTGCATAACAGCAAAGAACTTTTACCAGCGAAACAAGCACGATGCGCTATACATCTGCTGCAGCTCTAACTTGACTTCTGAGAGCAATTAGTGAAGTCTTGTTGGAGGCGATGAAGGTGTACCACGAGAAGATTGCTCGTCTGTGCGATTGCTCGAAGATTATTCCAAAAATTTAAATTATTTATTATTATAATCATATATATTATTATTATATATTATATATTATTATATTATATTGTTCCAAAACAATAAATTATTTATTTTTATATTGTTAATGCAGGTGACAAAAATTTATATGAGGCTTAGTTATGTTATGCTTTAGTTTAACAGATTAAAATTTTAATTTTATGGAATTTAGCCTGAAGATTATAATAAAGATTATAATTTTATTGCAATTTGTAATTCACATCCTTGTGTATGACCACCACATGTACGTCTGCAACGTGCTCATGTTGTAGCAATACTACAAATATAAAAATATAAAAATAGTATTGGTCTAATACAATCATTCAATTGACTGTATTGTATAAGTCGGGTACTCGGGTACCTAGAAAAATATACGAGTCAATTGCGTTCTTATTAAATACAGATTGGCAATCCTGGAATCATGAGAAATGAAACATAATTTCTAAAATCATGCTTATATGTACTATTCACGCATGTATTCATTATGGCACCTGGCATTTCGATGCACCAGACTCGATTGAAGTCACAAGATTATTAGTCTTGCTGTAGAGACACATTGCACGGAAATGCTGATAATTACATATGTATAATTCTTAACCTTGGAAAACTTGTACAATAATCAAATATTTCAATATAACAGGTCAGTCAACCTATTTAATTTGCAACGAATGTTGTCGAAGGTTTAGGGAATGTTTCTGAGGACAAATCGTTCGTGATGCGATCAATCAAGAAAGGTAAATTAAACTCAATATGTCATGGCAAAACAATCAAACAAAATTCTGTCACGAGGCAGTCATTTTGTCAGTAAGAATTGAATGTTTCACAATTATTATTTGAAGTCTTAGGTTTTTATTGAACATTAACCGAGAAAAATAGCCAAACAACGGCCAGTAAAAGCTGGTTTTTATGATAGCAATGGAAAGTGCAGTGGAATGTAAGCTGGGCTCAGAGAACACCAATAATTTATGGCCCTCAATGAAGCGCATCATCATTCCTCGACTTTAAATGGACGTAAGCTACTTTGGATATTTTATTATCGACAGGAACTTGTTTCGCAATTCGTGAATAATAGAAAGAAAGCGTTCGTCAATAGCCGATGAATAGCAACGTGGAGCACATGGGGCAGCTGGAGCCAGCGCATGGGCAGCTGGAACTAGCGCATGGGCAGCTGGAACTAGCGCATGGGCCGCTGGAACTAGCGCATGAGCTACGCAAGACGGGGCATGAGCAATAAAACAAGGCTATTAGTGTACTGGAAATAGCAAGGTTCGTGCCTCGCTAACAAGAAGGAATTAAGGCGCTTGAAGCAAATGCCCAAGATCACCGCAATTAACGACCCTATTGCAAACAGGCACAAGGCGATCGCTGTTGTGTAGTGGCATGCGTCTAAGCGCCTGCACTGTTGAAATTTCAGGTACGGTTTACCGGTGGCCGCCGAGCGACCAACGTTAGGTTGGAGTTTGCTCGGCGCTGATACTTCGTGGGGTATGCGTGGCACGCACCAATCACTCGGCTTGTTTAGCGGCTG